TCAGAGAAACAGCGAAAATAATTGACGAGAAAAAATGACGAAAGAAATAACTTACCACGGCACTGCCACAGCATCTGAACCCGCACAGACAGGGGGATCGGATGGACACTAGAGAAATACGTCGGCGCGAACACGCTCACTAACCCTTAACATACACGTGCAAAAACCCATGGCTAAAGAAGAAACAAGTGACAAAAAAGGCGAAAAACAAGCGCAAGGTATATAGCTCTCCCCCCCCCCCCCCCCCCCCCCCCCTGGGCGCGGCGTTTTGGAAGCTTCGTTCTACCGATAGCTTAAAGGGATCCAAAAGAGGGAGGCTGGTGCCGCCGCCCGACACCATGAACCCTTTTCCAGAAAAAATGGCCCGTCACCCCCAACACACCGCATCTCCCGGCCCTCTCTCTACATCGGGTGGGTGTACATCGGAGAGCGTGGACTGCCGCCCTAGCCCGATAATATCATCCAAGGCAAAACTCCTCTCTTACGAATGCAAGTGTAGAGCACACACACACACGGGAAAAAAAACAATATGACACATCCGGTGTGAAAAAATAGGGAAAAACGCCGCCTATACATCATCACCCCTCCTGCCGCACCAGAGACCGGCCTTGGTGGGTACTTGTGTCTGGCTAGACGTTGATTCGTGTGCCGCACTCCGGACAAACATCTACGTCACGTCCAACAACAAGGCGTAGCTAGCTAGCCCACGCGTTCCCCAGCCGGGAGAAGAGAGCGAGAGACAAAAACGAAAGAAAGAGACCAGAAAGAGCCAGAATAAATCGACTCTAATACACAGCAGTCAGTCGTTCCCGCGCCGTACAGGAGACACACCGTTTTTTTATTTCCAGAAAAAGCAAGGTTACCCGCAGAATGCAAAAATACAAGGGGTATAGGTACTTTTGCGGACGACCATGCATCTCTCCCCCTCGCTTCTTTCTAAAAAGCACCACACACACGCACACATTTCTTGAAAGAAAAGTCACGAAATGCCCTGGAAAAAAAAGGTGCGGGCACGACCAGGACCCAGACGGCATGGAGCCGGCGAACCACGCAAGCCAGCCACACTAACCGGCCCATATCAACCAAAACCGTCCGGCCCACCTCTGTGCCGACGCGCTCCTAGATCAACCATCCAAATACCCCCCCCGGCCGGGGGGGTCGCTACAGCGGCGGCGGCGGTAAAGCGGGGGCAAAGTGAGACACTTCCGCACCTCCTGGCGACGCCGCGGGGCGGCCCCCGCGGCCGCCACTACACCACAAGCGACACCGCCAGTACCTACCTTCAAA